TAAGGTATGGTATGGTAAGCTATGGTGTGGTATGGTAAGCTATGGTGTGGTATGATAAGGTGTGGTATGGTAAGCTATGGTGTGGTATGATAAGGTATGGTATGGTAAGCTATGGTGAGGTATGGTAAGGTATGGTATGGTAAGCTATGGTGTGGTATGGTATGGTAAGCTATGGTGTGGTATGGTATGGTAAGCTATGGTGTGGTATGGTACGGTAAGCTATGGTGTGGTATGTTACGGTATTGTATACCCTGTCAAATGTACAAAAAGGGCTGAAGTGAGAATTTCGTGTCCTTCTCCGATTTAAAACGAGGACAGAGAACATTGACAACACCCCAAACAAACCGACTTGGAGAACACCTGTTGGGTTTCGAACCGGAGTCATCCACAGAATTACGCCAGCTGATCTCTGGCGATCTCAACCAACATCACACTATCATTCTGGGGTCTGTAGTGCAACACTCATAATTAAGAGGGATCAATTTTCAATAATTAATTCAGAAGTCAGCGCAAGTTATTTCTGTTTTTAGATTAAAGAGAAAGATTTTTTAAACATGAGTTATGGCTGTAGATCACGATTTATCCTTCTTGGGAAATTGGCAGTTGTAATCACTCTTTGAGATAGACGTATCAGGTCAATCTAGATCTTTTTAGTCAAAATGCAATGCACTGCTTATGTGTCGCTACTTGAACTTTATAAATCACCCAGAGCCTGTGCTCTGTGAAGAGAGTTATTTGCTGTGAAAATGTCAAAGCTATTATTATGAGTATTAAAATTACATTACCAATAGTAATAATAAACCAATAATCATCATACTATAATAAAAGGTAGGGCCAAAGTTCTGTCCACAAAGGTTTTTTTGGGACAATACCAATCGTTTCGGGAAAATACACATCACACAAACGTTAGCCAACTGTCCAGCGTGGGGCTATTTTAGAAGCTTGATAAGCGCTGTGTAATTAAATCAGTTTCTGAAATAATTATCACATTGCCGTCGAAACCTGCATCTCTGCCATAATGGGACCGGAAGACGTGTTTTTGATTGACCCACGTTTGATTCGCTATGAAATCCATGTTTAAATGCCGACGACCCGGATGTTTTTACATCTGTCGAAACCTATTTGAAAGTGAAGGCGGAAAGTGAACTAGAGAGTGTCTGTCTTTCGTAGTAGTAGTAGTAGTAGTAGTAGTAGTAGTAGTAGTAGTAGTAGTAGTAGTAGTAGTAGTAGTAGTATGAAGTACGGCTGTGGTCAGGCTAGTCGCCTATCAGCCGTTCGTTGCTTTCGTTGCTTGTTCCTTCCTGCACGTTGTTTTCACACTCTGGTATCTGTAAGTTTGTGCTCATAGCACATGGATCTGGCAGTTTGAAACCTATCTAGGTTCTTAGAGAATTTATGCTCCTTCCAGACAATGTCAATCCTTTTCTAATTTTGTATTTTGAGATAGACGTATCAGGTCAATCAGGGTATTTTGTAGTGTAATATTGATAATAATAATAATAATAATAATAATAATAATAATAATAATAATAATAATAATATAACATCATCATCATTTTCAACACTACAGGCTTGAGTGCTGTAACCGAGCGTCAAAGTAAGTCCTACAGTTATCTACTATCAACCTATCTGCTCAACAAAGTGAACCCGTCCAATCATGTTCAGCACCAGGTAAACCACTTAGCTTACACGATTTCTCCGTCCGTAGAACGGGTATTTTGTCGTGTAATATTAATAATAATAATAATAATAATAATAGTAATAATAATAATAATAATAATAATAATAAAAATAATAAACCAAAAATAATAAAATGTTAATAATAATAAATAATAATAACATTTAAATTAATAATAAAAAATAGTAATAATATTTTTATAAATAATATCAAAGAGTAATACTATTTTAAAATAATAATAATAATAATAACAATAACAATAATAATAATAATAACAATAAAAAAAAAAAAAAATAATAATAATAATGATAACAACAATAATAATAATAGTTACAATAGTAACAATATTAATAATAATAATAATTATCATTACAATGATAATAGTAAATACTAATAATATTTAATATTATAATAATAATAATACTAATACTACTACTAATAATAATAATAATATTAACAATCATCATCATCATCATCATCATTGTAAACAGCAGAGAATAAAAAACGT